CTGGGACCCTTCAGTCCGCAGGCCGATGCTCTATCCACTGAGCCACACCGGTTAGGGCCTGATAGGAGGTTTGAAAATGCCCCTCAGGTACCCCTGTGGGGAGCAGAAGGGTATTTGGATGGAGACAGGCAGCCCAGTGAGGGGGCAGCTATAAAACACAGGTGAGAGATGGTGGTCGCCATGGGGCTCGGGAAAGATTCTGGACTCCCTCTGAAGGTCGCTTCTAAGACTCAGGGATGGATTGCACACGGGGTGGAGAAAGAGGGAACCGAGAATCAGCCCTGACCGTCCGGGCCTGAGCTATGGAGTGGACAGCGGAGCCCTCGATGGACATGGGGCTGACCAGGGAGGGGCAGGTTGGGAGAGTGAGAGGCAACTTGAGGGCTTTGGGCCACTAGTCTCACAGGTCATGCAAGCTGTCCTGGCGGCCATGTTGGTGCAGAGGCCGTTAAGTAGGTAGGTCTGGAGCCTGTAGATCCAGACCTGGAGCTGTCAGCTTCGAGGCGATGACGGCTGTGACTGGGTGAGATCCCAGGCAGAGCCTGGAGAAGGGAGAGAGGAGAGCGCCAGGGCCCTGCGGCACTTAGACGTGGAGCAGGGGAAGAGCCGGCAGAGGAGATACAGTGGGGCCTTGACTTGCGAGTCTAATTCGTTCGGAGACCGAGCTCGTTAAGGAGCTCGTTAACTCAAATTACTCTATCAACTCAGTGCAAAAAATCGGCCAAGAGACAGCTGGTATCTCAAAAAACTCGTTAGTCGGGACACTCGTAAGTCAAGGTCCCACTGTACCTGGGGGGAAGGAGGAACGCCAGGCCTCTTCAGGGTGACGGAAGCCAAGAGCCACCTGTGTTCCGGGAAGGAGGCAGGGCCACCATCTGAAGCTGCTGAGAGCTCGAGGAAGACGGTAGTAATAGCTGGGATTTGATTCCTGCCAGCCGGCCTTCCAAGCTTTGGACACAGATGGTCTCATTTTATCTGCACCAGGACCCTGTTCAACAGGCTTTATTATTTCCATTTTGCAGACAAGGAAACTGAGGCTAAAATGCAAGGGAAGTCACTTGCCCAAGGACTCAGAGCTAAAAGGCAAAGCCAGGATTCAAACACTGTGTACCCTGACCTCCACTCCAGAGACGTGGGCCCTGGACGTCACTGCACACCCACGCACTGGAGTACACACACATGCAGGATGTGTTGAGCCCTCGCTCTGGGCCAGGTGTCTGAAATGCACCGAATCCTTGTGGGGCTCACATCTTAGGCAGGGCAAACGGGCAGTAAGGGGGGTCAGTGCCATGGCCAGGACGGGCGAGAGAGAGCCAGTGTTTGCTCAGCAAGAGAGTTAGAGAAGACCATGACGGGGACGTGGTCTTTGCTATATGATCTCTCTATATAAAAGCCTAAGTGACCATCTGACCAGTAGCTATGACATTCAATGACCACCAGGCGGCAGATGCTCAGTGCAGGAGCTACCGAGCTGCGGTGACTTGGCAGCTGCGGTTCTCGGGTAACACACCCGGAACCAGAGAGGAGGGAGCCCGATTCCAGGGTGCATCACCTGAGAAACGCCCTCTCGCAATCCAGGACCCCTTGGGGGATATCGGAGAACCGATTTCGGCCCAGTCCCCGCAGGACAGACCGAGGGACTCCACTGGTGCATGAATCCGTGCACCGGGCCTCTAGTTGCTATATAATTATAGTGAAAACAAACGCTTTGAGAACACTTGCTTTTTGAGTGGGTATTGTTGAATAACAGTAATATTATTTGTGCAAGGCAGCACGCTAAATGCTTTCATTGATTTCAGCCTTCCCATCACAGAGATGCCCTCATCATCACCATTTCAGGAGGTCAGGGCCGTTGCCGGAAGCCACACAGCCCAGAGGTTAGGTCTCCAGCATCTCAGCCCGGGCAGCAGGCTCCAGAGGCGCTGCCGGATCTGCCTCTCCGTGCACGAGGGAATGAATGTTCGGTTCCCAGAAAGGGAAACTGGGGAAAGGGAGGTTAAGGAGGAAACTGAGGCACAGGTTCCGTGACAAGGTTGGAAAGTGGTGAGGCCCAGACTCGAGCCTCGGCAGTCTGGCTCCATGGTCCATGGGCTTTACCAGACCAGTGGCTCTCACGCTTGAGCCAGCGTGGGAATCTCCTACCCGGCTTGTCACGGTAGGTTGCTAGGCCCCGCCCCCAGAGTTTCTGACTTAGCAAGTGGGGGACGGGGCTTGAGAATATGCATTTCTGCCCCGACCCTGACAGGTGACGCGGGGGCTGCTGGGCCAGGGCCCACACCTGGAGGACCGCTGCCTTGGGCTGCCTCTCGGCGCATGAGGGGTGGCTGGCTTGTTTCCCCCGGGGGAAACGGAAACTCGGAGGGGCTGTCTAGTGTGCAAACGTCACGCAGCTGTCAGAGGGTGGCGCTTGGCCTCCAGGGCCCACGTTCTTAACCATTGCCCTGCACTGCCTCCTGCCGGTCAAAATCAGAACTGCATGCCCACGCGAAGGAAGGGATTTCCCAATCCCCCAGCCGGGGAAGC